CAATCGTGGGCATGGAACCACATGCCTTTTTTGTGCTCGATCATGAATGAATCATATCCCTTTCCGTTACTTTCAAGGTATCAATAGTAAATTTATTTTTAAATAATGTTTTCGATTATCATAGAATGACATATATATATATATATATATATATATATATATATATATATATATATATATTATATTAAATATGTGGTCAAGTAATAGGAAATATCATGATATCCTACAAGAATTACAAGATATCTGATTACTCATTGACCAGAAAGCTGGTGTAGATGTACGTTTTTTTAATTTTAATTTTTTATTTAATTGTATTTATATCATTTGAATCTCATTTTAATTTTGATAAGAAATCTATATTTTTGTTTTAATTCAAATGGTTGTCATATTTAGACGATGCATTAAGGGTTTGCATCATATCTAACCTTAGTGGGATATTGGATGTATGGGTGGCGGTTGTGCCCCTTATTTGTTATGCTATTGTTGAGTGAAATTTGACTAATCGTGTGATTCGTTAGTTTAGGTTTACACAATTTATTCCATAAGCACCAAAGAACCTTGACAATATGCATAACATCGATAGACGAAGCAAGAAATAGGTAAATTGGTTGGTGAAGCATAGAGACTGGTTGACTATGTGGGAGAACCGACATCAACGCTTACCCCATTGATAATATATAGCAAAAATTGGTTTTATGGTTTTAGATGGCTATATTGAATGGTTCAATGCAAACAGTAAGTCATTCTTACTTTCAGAAGAAGCACAAGGGGTGGCAATTCATCGTCGTCGACAAAAACATCTGAAGTCACAATATCATCGTCCTTCCACTACTGGACAAAGAATCTCTGCCATGTCATAGTGTTCCATCCTATCTGAAATGAAAGGCGCTTCCCAGGGGAAGTGTTTTCCATTATTATTTAGAGAATCTCTGTCATGTCATAGTGTTTCATCACATCTGAAATGAAAGGTGCATGTTCCATTATTATTTAGAGAATCTTTGTCATTTCACATAATTGGCATGAATTGTTCCCCGACCCTCAATCGTTTAAACTCTTCAATCCTAAAACTCTGTATCTTTGAAATCTCAAACTATCAAACGTGTAAACTTTCAAACTCTCAAAATAAGAAAATGGCTCATATTTCAGTTGTTATTTACTATGATGGAGAAATTGGGGTAGATGAATACAAGGTTATTTTTCAATTAGATCATTATATCATTCTATCCTTTAGGAGAAACATCATTTTCACGATTTAATTACAAAAATCTCAAGGAATGCTCGTGTCAAAAATAGTAGAAGATTGGATACACTGCAGTACATATTTTCAACTGAAATTTTTTCGTTAATATATATACCGTTTAATCTCTCAAACAACGAAGATGTTACTATGATGGTTGATGCTTCCAATCAAAATTCAAACTCTATTACAGAAATATATGCCACTTTTGTTGATGTGTATCCAGTTTGGGGTTTGTCTTTATCCTTCCACTATGGCTTGTATGAACCAGTTGATTAAGTTGACAGTCCAACTCAAACAATCTGTAATGATTTCAATTCATTAATGGCTAACCCACCTCCTGTTAGCATACCATCAAGTTTCAGGGGAAGACATCCATTTGCCATTTTTCAACCTCAACATGGAGATGCCTTCCAGTTCTAGGGGGAGACATTCATCTGCCACCACCTTCAACCTCAATTTAGCAAGGCCTTTCACATAACACTCAATTAATAACCCATTTAATGACATCATTTCAAGCTTCGAAAGAAGACATTCATCTGCGAACTTATTCGAACTATACATCAGAGTCATAGAAGAACACTCATCTCCTCTAAAAGAACCTCTTCGTGAGTCAGGAAAAAATGGTGTTGAAACTGGATTATTCCGTGAACCCGAGTCACCATAATTTTACATGGACCCTGATGATGATACGGATGAAGTTCCTATAAATATGGTACAATACAAACCTCCAGCACAAATGTATGAAGTTGGTTATGATGCGATGTACGGGCCAGAATTTCCTAATATGCCTTATCTTGGAGACTATGGAAGACATTCATAAGTTAATGATGATGATTTATATCGTGTAATAGAGTTCACATATAAAGAATAAGTAATAATGGAAATTAAGAATTACAATATTCATAATTCAGTTCAGTCCATAGTTGACCGATCTACCACCAAAAGCATGTTTGGTATTATGTCCAACATGATAACAGTTGTAAGTGGATGGTTCATGTTTCAAAGAAGAAGAAGGCATGCAGATAGGAACTAACAAAATACAGTGGTCCCTATACATATTGTGCTCATGGGATCAACTATGACCATCCAAACTTGGACGGCAATGTGATTTGCGAAGCCATCATGCCCTTGGTCAGAGCAAGCTCTCACATACCTATTGCAGTGCTGATTTATGCAATACAATCTCAATATGCGTACACCGTCTCCTACAAAAAAGCATGGAAGACAAAACAGAATGTCATTATAAAACTATACGGTGAATGAGATTCATCTTACAACTAACTACCCAGTTGGTTTAACCCGGTTTAACGACTGAATCTTGGGACAATAGTTGAGTTCGAAACTCGCCATGCCTATCACAATGATCGAGTTCTTCGAGATTCACCGTGTTTTTTTAGTCTTACCCACAATGCATTAATGTAGTGAAATATAGTAAACCCGTTGTCCAAATTAATTGTACATTATTGTATGGAAAATACAAGCAAGTTTTATTACTAGCAGTTGTCCAAGATGGTAATCGTAACATTCTTTACGTTGCCTTTTCCCTTGTTGAAGGAGAAGATACAGACTCTTTGACTTTTTCCTAATAAATCTATGGTTACATATTATCACTAGAGAACGTATTTGTATCATTTCAGACCGAGGAGCTGGGATCAAAGCAACAATGAACTCTTTAGGTCCAATGTAGAAATCCGCACGTCTAACATCGTCTCTGCATTTGACATTCTGCAAACTATCATGGCATATATAAGAAAAATGATGAACGATAATTAATTATACGCATAGGTATGTTACATTTTCCCAATTTCATTGATCAATCATTTTCATTTTTTTATACTTACTACTTTATTTCGCTTAGGCTATGAACTCTTACCTCAAACGATTGAGGTTATTCTTCAAGAATTGCGAGGAAAAAATGAACATTAATACAATTACATTAGTGAAATCAACAAAGAAAAGTGGAAAAACGCATATGATTGTGGATATCAATATGGACATATAACAACCAATTTGGCTGAGATAATCAATTCAACCTTAAATGACCCCAGTCATTTACCAGTAACTGTTTTGGCTAAAATGATGTATTTTTGTTTGGGTCAACTTTTTGCCAAGCTTGGGGGACAAACTATTACTTGGATACAAAACGGTTTATCACCCACGATTAGTAGCAGATCTGCAACAAAAGGTTACAGAATCAAACATCATGTCCATAATAAGCTTTTCTCGTACCCAAGAATTATCTAAGGTCACAGAAATGCCATGATCTCTGCAAGGGATTGAATCTAACTCTTTCAGGGTTAATCCACGAGATAGATGTTGTGACTGTGGGTTTTTTCAAACTTTGAAGTAGCCATGCTCCCATGTCATAACAGGTTGCTCATTTTCTCGTCAAGACTATAAGCGTTATGTGGATCCCGTATACTAACTTTCACAAGTATTCAATGTATATAAATATGAGTTTCCCCTATAGGTAATGACGAAGACCCAAATGAGGTTTAGACTTGGCTTCCAATTATACTAGATCCGAACTTATTAAAGGAGTCACGTCGTCCAAAATCCACTTGAATTCATTGTGATATGGATATTCGAGAGACGTCAAAACAAAACTTAAGATGTGGCAATTGCAGAAATCCAAGCCACAATAGGAGAAATTGTCCATCTATTTCATCATCAAGTAACCATTGACCACCACTCATGTAATCATATTTTCTAATGTTTCAAGTTATGTTATTTCATTTTCTTTTAGTTTCAATTAATGTGATTTCATCTTGTTTATTTTACATGATGACCATTTCGTCTATCTATATAATTTTTCAATTAAATGTTTAACGTTTATTTCTTACAATATAACATACAATCAATTTTAACCCTAAACTTCTTTAAAAACCCTAAAACATACAAATGTAACACCCTAAACCACTAAAAAAATCCTATAATTATTTTAACATAAAACCTTAAATCTAAAACCATCGAGCATGAGAGGCGCGTTCCGTACGACGCCCCATTCAAGGGAGGCACTTTCCATAGGACGCGTCATTCATGATCATGGAAAGTGTGTTTCATGCGACACACCTTTCATTCCCCGACTAAGACGTGTCCCCTGCTGTGCGCCTCCTTCTCTCTCATGAAAAAAAGTATTAGATCGAGAAATAATTAGGAAATGATGTTTAATAGGTAGTATTTTTTAATATGGTTATTTTTTTGTCAAATTGCCCGAGAAATCAAACATTCACAAGCTTGTATAGGAACTAGGGGTGTAAACGAGCCGAGTATTGTTGAGCTCGACTTGACTCGAAAACTCTGAAATGGAACTCGACTAAACTCGAAAAGCCGCGAGCTTAAAATTTTCAAGCTCGACTCGAACTCGAAATCCTGAATTAAAGCTCGTGAGCAGTTCGAAAAGATTCAAAATGAAAAAAAATAATTCTTAAACTTAACTTGATTGAAGCCTCAAACTCAAACATAAACCTTAAATACATGAAATCTAAATACATAAAATCTTACTGTATTTTTTTAAAAATCAAATAATAAATATTAATATTATTAATAATTTATTTTAAAAAAAATAAAATCTTAATATATTATATTTTCGAGCTGCTCAAGAACTTTTCAAGTCGAATATCGAGTAATTCGTTTCAGCTCGTTAAGAACTCGAGTCGAGTCCATTCGATCCGAATATTTATCGAGCCTTGATCGAGTCAATCTCGAGTAGCTCACGATCTATCTCATCTCATTTACAGCCTAATATGAACATTAGAGACTACGGTGAGGATTCCCCGATGAGTCTCCCGGTACCATTACTTCCACCAAGCCTTTCGTAGTAATCAACGCAAAACAAAGACAACGAGAGCTGGACCTGGTCGCGAGCCCAAGAAGCTCTCCTGACTCGTCCGAGGCGGCTCCGCACCGGTCTCACGCAACCCATGTGGAGGCGTTTGTAAACGCCCAAGGCAAGAACCACGGACCGCACGCTTGAAGGTGGAGGAGACACGTGTCGAAAGCACAAGTTTTCCCAGAGGGAGTCATTGCGAGCAATGGCACCCCAGAGACGACAGACGCTAGCGGCGACGCAGAGGGAAAGGCCGCCGAGGCGTTTGAGTATTTCTATGAGGATGTCCGGGTGGTCGTTGATAAAGAACTTGGATCTTTTCTCCTTGGTCTCCCCGACGGTCTCGTGGTGGTGCAGACGGTGGCAGCTGCGGTTGTGGTTTTGCTCCATTGTTGAAGACAAAAAGGAGACGCTAAAGAAGAAGAAGAATATAGCGTTGAAAAATGAAAAGTTGAGAGGCAAAGGTAAAATTAATGGTGGGTTAAATATATAAGAGAAGTGCTATAGGTGCCGTGTTACGTAGAGTATAAGGGATTTGACTTCAGAGGGAGAAAGAAAAAGATTGTTTGTATTAGGGAAAGAGACGGGGGCAGACTTAAAGACAAACAAAACAAGAAAGATTTTACTTTTCTTTCTGGGTTTTTAAAACAATTTAGATACATTTAATTTTTACTGTAATTTAGACTTTGTTGTAACGTAAAATTACCATAGTTTACAGTTCTAGTTCTCATCTATCTAAATTACCATTATTATTAGCAACGATAAAACATATTTAATCCTTGAAAAATGCAATTTAATGTACAGCATGTATGAAATGGAGGGAGTCGAGATTATGGGAGAGAGAGAGAAATCGAGAGGAATGGGAGAAGAGGCTAGGAGAAAAGAGCCAAGGCAAATAACTGGAACCGATGCTGTGCCTTTTTCTTTTGTAATTTGTATTTTGTATATTGTTGTTTCTTGTGAATTCCAAGACGCTTTTACATGTTTCTTTCGTTTTAGCTTCAATTGGTTCAGGGCCGCCGCAAAAAGAAAAGCACTGGAAACCTAGTTTCAAATGTGAGGCACAGCTGTTTACGGTACAAAGGCCAAAACTAAAACTTGGATTCATGACTCTGAATTTGAATTCGGAGGGAGAAAAAATTGTCATTTCCACACCGGTGGTGTGTTTGGAAACCAGAAAAGAAAATTTTCAAGGCACGGAGACAGGGCAGAGCAGAAGAATTTGAATTTGTTACGGTGTTGACATTTTATTTTCTCCTTGTTATCAAGTCATTCGACATACTTTAATGTCGGGGGTATCTTAATGGCCATAAACTCTATCCTTATGGCAAGTTGCATTTGCTGTAGCCAGTCCAATTACAGAATCATTCGCCCTGGAGGGCTATGATATATATAGGTAGCGTAGGATTTACACTGTCTGCCTCCTCTTTTGTCTGTTAATACCAAATTTTCACTGAAATCCCATATCTTTGGTGGTAAAGCAGATTGAAGAAAAAACATAGGCTGAAATCTAATGAACAGGTAAAAGCTGCAGCGAAGTTTGGAAAGAGTTTGTTTTCACTGGAGACCAAAACAGGTCACATCAGGGCATCTTATGTTCCATCTTGCAATAATTATGATGAATCTCTTTGGGTAACAACCAAAGCAAGAAAAAAATAGCATTGATTGTGAGATCAAGGATTAGGGAGGCTACTATTTTCGTGGTTATCTTTTTTGTTCTGGGGCTTGGATTTTGATCTACAGAAAGAATCCCACAAATCCCTTTAAGACAGAGTGCCTATAACAAAGGGTTTGAACTTGACATTAAGGGTGCGTTTGGTTCACGGAATGTAAGATTACCAGTGGGAATAAAAGATTACCAGGGAATAGGATTACTGGGAATGTTGTATTTTGTGTTTGGTTGGTTTAGCATGAATGTAAGATTACCGTGTTTGGTCAAAGGAATAAAAGATTATTGGAATGTATATTTGACCAAATTATCCTTATTATATATTTGTATAATATTACAAATTGTAAAATATTTATATATTTTCTTTAAAAAATTAAATTCATAATATTTATATAATTTTTTTACAAAATTAAAAATATAAAAAATGTTTAATGAAAGGGTAAAAAAATTTAACCCCTAAACTTCATATAAAATTTTAATTATAGACTTTTTTGTAAATCTAAAATAATTAAGGATAAATTTGTAATTTAACATTCGTAGAATTTTTATTATTCAATGACAGAAGAAGGATATTTTTGAAAAAAAAATAAAAATTTAAGGGCATTTTAGTCCAAAACGCCGGTAATGTTACAATACCTAAGGGTGTTTGGTTCAAGGATTGTGAGATTCTTATGGGATGTGAATCTCATATTCCCATATTTGATTGGCCGGGAATTTCATTCCTGATAAGGTTTTATTACCAATAGTAGATTTTTTTGGGGTATATTACTGGGAATGTCATTACCTTCCTTCCCTTAGGTATTGTAACATTATCGGCGTTTTGGACTAAAATACCCTTAATTTTTTTTTCTTCAAAAATATCATTCTTCTGTCATTGAATAATAAAAATTCTACGAATGTTAAATTACAAATTTATCCTTATATTATTTTAGATTTACAAAAAAAAATCTATAATTAAAATTTTATATGAAGTTCAGAGGTTAAATTTTTTTTACCCTTTCATTAAACCTTTTTTATATTTTTTATTTTGTAAAAAAATTATATAAATATTATGAATTTAATTTTTTAAAGAAAATATATAAATATTTTACAATTTTTAATATTATACAAATATATAATAAGGACAATTTGGTCAAATATACATTCCAATAATCTTTTATTCCTTTAACCAAACACGGTAATCTTACATTCCTGCTAAACCAACCAAACACAAAATACAACATTCTCAGTAATCCTATTCTCTGGTAATATTTTATTCCCATTGATAATCTTACATTCCGTGAACCAAACGCACCCTAGATGTACAAATGCTCTTCATTCTTTCTTTCTTCTTTTTTTCTCTCTTAATAAAGGTGTGGCACTCTGGTTAAAGGATAAAATCATTCATAAGTCAAGCTAATACGGATGGAGATGAATAAACTCCAGTTTATCTAATTATGTGTTTTTGTAATAAATGGATTGTTCTTATTTTAAATTTTATAAATTAATCACTTAATTAAAATATTATTATAAATAACTTATTGATCGTTAAATATTAGATGAAAACTGATAGGAAATAATATAACAATAGTTTTAGTCCTTATAACTGATTTTATAGTATCATAAAAAAAGATTAGATTGATATTTTTTTTTAAAATATGAAATTTATTGAATTGTTTCTAGTTAAGATAAATTGATATAATATATAAATTTTAAGGACTAAAAATATTATTATACCATTTCATATTAAATGTTGTTAACCTATTTATAATAATAATTTAATTGAATAGTATATCAGTAACTTTTAAAACTATATATCATATATTACTATACAAATGCCCTTACACAAATTTATAAAACTTAATGACTACGATCCGGTCCGACCATGGTGACCTCTAGTCCTCTAGTTCTAGCCCCTTAGATATCTAAGAGAGTTTTTTTTAGGTGCGACGAGAGCCTGTTTGTGTATTGTTGGACTGATTTGAGGGGCACTGTTCCCTATTCTTTGTGGGAGGAATTTGATAATTGCAAGATTACAAGGGGAAACCCGTTAAGTGCGTAAAAAATCCAAGGGAAAAAGGAAAAGAATTTCACAGTTTCACTCACTTTTCTAACCACTAATACTATCATTTTGTACTTTTTTTTATGCACTGCAGGTTCCTAAGGTTACCTTGATTAATTTAAATCGATTTAGATTGCACACTTTATTTTGGTAGATGAATATTTAAACGATGATTTTTTACATACATAAAAACTCGAACTCGAGACTTGCGTAAATAATATCAAGCTGTTTACCACTTAAATTAATATTCATTAATTTATCATTTTGTACTTTGAGTCTTCAAAAAGGGGAAAAACATGGCTAAATGTTCAAACATTTTTTTACTTACGAGTTCTCACAATTTATCTCAAGTTATCCATCCATATGATTTCTGCAAATTTGTACAACCTTCACTACAAAGCATGGACCATCAAATTGACCATTCACTCCACTTTTCATCCCTTTGATCAAACTCAGCTTCAACGGATAAATCTTGGGTATACATAAACTACATGTGTATAATTAGGTCTACCATGCCTGTGTAAAAGTTTACATCGAGCACATGTTCGTATTCGACACTCATTTTTAAATCCGATCATTTGCTTCTCGTGAGAGGTGTCTAAATAATTGTGCCAATTTATAAGATTTAGGACAAGGTGTTTTGGTGTTGGGGCTGAGTTTTCAAGCAGAGTAAAAAAAAAACCGAACCAGATTTATCTGTTTGAAGGTATCTACATGACTGGGTTCTTTCTGTAGTTTATGCATTAATGCAATTATTTAAAGTAATAAGCCAAGGTCAATAGATATAAATATTAAGCAATAAGTATCTGTTAACTTGGATTTTATTGCAATGAATCCATGGAACAAAATTTAAAACAATGGAAAACAAACAAGGAGATCAAAGGTAAACAGAAGAGGACATGGAAAAAATAAACAATAAAATAACATCCAGCTAGGGTTCTAACTCGAAATGCCCTTGATGGAGAAGATATAGAGTTATGAGCTTTTTTATGAGAAATCTACGGTTACATATTATCACGAGAGAATGTATTTGTATCATTTCAGACCGAGGAGCTGGGATCAAAGCAGCAATAGACTCTTTGGGTCCAATGTGAAAACCCCCACACGTCCAACATCGTCTATGTATCCGACATATTGCTGCAAACTATCCTGGCATCTATAAGAAGAATGATGAACAACAATTAATTATACTCATGGGTATGTTACATTTTTTCCAATTTCATTTCTCACTCATTTTCATTTTTTATACTAATTACTTCATTTCGCTTAGGTTGTGAACTCTGACCTCAAACGTTTGAGGTTATGCTTCAAGAATTGCAAGGAAAAAATGAGCATTGATACAACAACGTCAGTGAAATCAACAAATAAAAGTGGACAAACGCATACGATGGTGGATATCAATATGGACATATGACAACCAACTTGGCTGAGATAATCAATTCAACCTTAAAGGGGGCGTCATTTACCAATAACTGCTTTGGCTAAAATGATGTATTTTCGTTTGGTCAAAACGGTCACAATTTGAGATAAATTTGCAGACATTATTTTAGTTACTTGGATACAAAACGGTCATGTTTATCACCCACTATTAGTAGTAAACATGCAGCAAAAGGTTGCAGCATCAAACAACATATCCATAATAAGTTTTTCTCGCACCCAAGAATTATTCCGGGTCACAGAAA